GTTTGTCATTTTTATCATCTGTTCAATCTCTGGTTCCTTAGCTTTCGGTTGACCATTTGTTTGCTTTTGAAGCTGTTCGCTATCTTTTAGCGACACTAAATGGTCTTTTCATCCATCGCTGAGAAAAAACTAATTTTTAAACAGAAGGCATAAGCGTTAGCAGGAGCTGAAAAGAATTTTTTGTATGGAAAGACTCGTCACTTTCACAGTGTTTTGCCAAGTTCTCAAAAAGTAACAGTAAGTGTCGGACCTTTCCGTAATCGGAGCTGCATCCATTAAGTCGCTCCTTTGTGCCGAAGCAAAGCAGGAACTGCTTAGGAACTTGAGAGAAGTAAGAAAATGAGGGTAGACCAGGCGTGGGGAACTGGAGGAAGCGGATGAAATACGCTTGTAGAAGTGAAAAAACTGGAAAGTTTGCAGAAGCGTTTTGCTAACTTTAAAAATTTTCAAACAGTACTTTTGTGGTTAAATATTAGCGAAATATCGGAAACCAATTTATAGCTGATGATGTCAAACAACCCTGCAATTTTGCTTCAAAAGCAGTCTGTAAGAGGATATCGGCTAGTTGAGCAAGTCAGCAGTTTTAAACTTATTGTAGTCGGAAACGAAAAAATATTTAATTTACCTCTGCGGTGACACTAAAGTGAAATATTTATTTTACTTGTTATACCTAACTTAAAAATCCGACTTTAGCTTTATGGAACAGGGGGCCCACCACGACAGTCTCAAAAATCAGATGTGGCCTGAAAGAATGTGACTAAAAGTATGGCGTGAAATACATAAAAGAAAGTGGAAATTTTGATTATTTGCGGCTGATGAATATCCTGATGAGGGGGTAGTGAGGAGTAGGAGTGATTTGTGAACAAATCTGTCTCGTTAGTTTTTTTTTAAGGCTGTGGGCCAATTTTTGTCGTGACCTTGGCAGTCTTGTCTCCATTATAGCTTTACTTCTATTTGTCGCATTATGCTATTCACTTTGAACAATATTTGCTGTAATCTACTTCCTTTTTTCTAATGAATATTACAGTTACAAATTTGTTATATTTATGAGGTTCAGTTATTTGAGTTCAATGTACTGCAGTACTGACCACACAAGATTCCTAAAAAACCTTGGTTCTGCTCGGCATTTTAATCAGTAATATCTGCCCAAGAATAAGTATCTTAAAGTTTTTTCTTCGCATCACTTTTGGTAAGACTTTTTTTACAATCTGTTTGCTATATTCTACCGCCTTTCGTTGTACAAAACAGCACAACAATAAGAAAATAGCAATTATTGAAGCACAATATGGAGTCCCCACCTTTGCTGCACTTCGGTTCTAGAAATTACGTTTTTCTACCAGAAGTAAAATTGTAATCATGCTGTCTAGCAAATTGGTTTACGGCCTAAACTGACGTTCGTCATTTCGGTCTTTAAGACAGTTTTGAAACATAACTTTTGAACTTCGCAACGAACCTTACACTCCCGGACTCATGTAGGTTTAGTAACCGTGAGAGGAACCTGTTAGCAACAGCGCATGCCTAGCAAACTTATCTTTAATTTGCAGTGACAAGGTCGAGGTTTAGACGACTGCTGAATGAATCTGCTCTAACTTACAATTAAGCTTAAGACTAACTGACAGAAAATTAAAAAGCTTTGATTTCAGTTGAAGAAAAATACAGAAAAGGAAGTTAAATATTAAAAACTCAAAGTAAAGCGTAGGCTTGAAGAAGAAGGATCTTTTCGATTCGGAAATGCAGTGTGCGGAGTAGGGATTATAAAGTAAAGTTTCATGTTGACTGTTGTTTAAAAAACGTTATTTAGAACAATTAACACATTGATTAACTGAATACGTTTGAACAAACTCTATTTCTAACATATTAAATGTTTATTCATCAGACCACCAAACTACAGAAGCCAGGTCCTATAATAACATCGAAAATAGTCATGGATCTTGAAAAACCAGATGCATAACTGCTCAATTCTTTTCTAAAATAATTTATCGCGAGCCCAATAATACGCTTCAGTGACAATATTTTCGGCAAAACACTCAGTAAAATAGATTTGGAAGTATTGCGTAGTTATTTAAGGATCGAAAAAATTACTAGTTGACCCAATCCCAACAAAAACCTTTCCGCACTAAACAGTAGTACAGTCAAACTACGCAAAAAAGTTGCATCCTGAATTTGCACCTAAATAAAAAAAAAAAAAAATGATTGACACTCGTAAAGGTCGTACAGTTAGACAGATTAATACGGCAGTAAAACTGCAAATCAAAACTTCACATGTAATTTACAACAGTTATGTAACCAGTCCCATTACTTCTGAATTACGACTTTCCAAAACAGAGAAACTGGATTTCAAATCTGTAATTTATTGGTTTCTTAGCACTTGATGACGCCGTTTCCTATCACAAACATGTTGAAATTGCTAATCTCATTTCGTTAAAAGATAGCAGTAAACCCAGTTTTTCCACCTGTTGTTGTACGAATAACTGCGTACTGGTTAGAGAACTGTCACCTACCTGCGTTCTCTAACGAGAATCGCGAACAGTGGCTGTCATTTTTCCAACGGAAGGTTTCGAAAACTGTCTAGCAGACCTTCGCGTCTACTACGCCGAGCAGATAATGCTAACCTGTCAGTGATGCCCCAGAACTACTACAGCTTGTTTCGATAACGCCAAAAAAAACTTATTTTTTTCTCAAGGCTACCACCTGGACTTTTCAGAGATAAGCTGCAGAGTTTTGGAGCGCGGGGAAATTGCCTGGAATTGGCCCTTATTCATATTTTAATTGGGACCCTGCCAACGAGTGGACAGTTTTTACCATAAAATGACCTTTGCATGTAGTATTCATCCACGCGGATTAAATAGGAACCAATTATTAGGAAGCTGTTATTTAACGGATGAAATTCCCAGGGTGAAAACGTGTTGCTTGTCATAGAAGATTTTACAGTAAATCTCTTCATAGTAATTTGAACGGAAAAAATTTACATGGGAAAAATGTGCCAAATTTTTTTGATTAGTTGGAACATTAAACTATGGTTAATTCATGGTTATATTCGTCAATTTTTAGTTTATTGGTCGTAACATTTAGTAACCATTGGTATTTTATTTGGGGTGAACTGAAAGGAAGCGAATGTTTGAGGCTTTAAGCATCTTTTTTTTTTTTTTGAATAATGAAACAGTTCTTTTTAGCTGATTATCATTGCATTGTCAGTTTAGTGTACCGCTATTTATACGACAGTTTTTGCTGGTATTAGTGCGACTGTCATTACAGTATATAAAAGTTATCGGGTTGAACATCTGAGGAGTTGCATGAATTTACTTCGATAAGCAGTACAGGATAATTTACGTGAGTCATATCTTGTTTTGAAATAATTGTGATCCTTTTCCAGCTCTTGTGTTGCCAAGTTTATTTGTTAGCATCTGATTGGTGAAAGGAGTGCCTTTGTACTGACTCGTCTCGTTAATTCTCTCTTCTGATATTTGTTTTCAAGATGGTTTTATTTTCTGTTTCTCGTGTAGTCAATCAGTAGTTTGCAGTGCTTCACCAATTATGGGTCGAAAAAGCAGGAATAAAAATAAGGGGTCGAGGGAAGATTACGTCTTGCCTCCCTCGAGTTCAAAAAAAGGAGCCACACCTCAATCCGGTGTGAGGAAGAAATTCAATGGTTAGCTTTACTTTTTTAAGCAGCAGTCAAAAATGCCTGTTTTTCTATTTTCAAGGAGAGAGCTGTTTCTATCCCGATAAGCTTTTATTTGAAATTTTGCCCTTTTCACGATGCGTTTGAAACCATAGTCTGGAAGTTGCCACATTGTTTTTTTTTTTCTCTTAGAGTCCCACTTTTTAATGATTTTTCAAAGCAAACGAGTTTGTATCATTCAGTCTTTACTACCTTTTTTTGACATTCATATATTTTAGAAAGTTCTTTACAGTTTTGAAGCACGTTAACTGTTTAGGTGCAGATGAGGATGAATTTAGTGAGACAGAATCATATACCACTAATTTGACACTTGACGATGACATGCAAAGTATTACAAACGGCGATGGTATGTTGTATTTAAAATGAATTTGACTCTTCTATTTTTTTTTCTCGTGTATGAACATTGATATGAACCAATCAGTAGGAATCATAGGCCGTATCTAAGCAGAAGTTATTTTGATAGTTTTTAAGGTTGCATTTAACTCGAGTATATTGATTTTAAGGGTTCTCAAAATTTGAATGATTCATCTATGAGTCATTTTGCTGTACTTGTTTCTGCAGCGTGTCAATGACCTGATGTTTCTTCTATTGCATCCAGGGGGAGGATAGGAGGTAGATTATCTTCAGACAGGGGATGTGGTTGTCTACCGTGCATAAGGACACGTAAGGGAATAAAGTTTTTTGGGAGGAAATGGGAAGAGGAGAAAACCTCAGTGGTTCCCAACAAACACTTTTTGTTCGTTTTCCATTTGCTTCACAATAAACATTCAGAAAGCGAAGGAAGTGCTTTTGATGCCGATGATGTCGTGTATAACTTAGGAGAATATTTTGACAACGCTACCAATAAATGGTAAACTTTTATATGTTTATCGTTGATATTATGTAATTTGAGATTTAAACAAAAACTTTGGTTATCATTTCCCTTCTACTCTGCTATCACTACTGTTATTATTACTGCTTAAATTGTTGCCCATATAATTTTTTCTGTTTTTGCATACTTGCGTTTTAAGCATATCTGTACGACTCGGAGCTGTGGAAATCCTAATTGGGCTCCTAAGACGGTGTTCTATATTTGACGAGTTAAGTAATTGGAAGATTACATTATTAGAGTTGATTGAAAAAGGTTTACGGAAAACAGATGACGAACTAGTCAGGGCTGCTGTACTTGCCTCACTGGCATCTTTACAGTTAGGTTCGAAATACCAGATAAACACTTTATTCCTTGTCGGTCTACTGGACCAAAATAAAATTTGTTGGGATTTCTACTTTTTTTAGGGAGTGATGAGGTTTTTTAAGGTTATTGGGTTTTTTTAAATAAGTCGGAGAAAATGGAACGAGTCTTTTAGGAAGTGATATAAATGATGAAATAGAACCAATTATTGCCATTATGCGTGAGGTTGCCACTGACAGTAGTCGTAGTGAAGCTGCTCGAGTTCACTGCATTGAAGCTGTCGCTCTTTGCTCATACTTATCAGTAACTAGCTCAGACTCATTGTATGATACACTGAATAGCCTAAGAGGCGTGTGGATGGGAATTAAAGTGAACTCGACATCTACTAGAATTTTCAGTAGCGCTGTTGCCGGATGGGCCCTGCTTGTATGTCAGGTAAAAGCTTTGATTACCCTGTCTTTCAGTAGGGTTATTCTACATGCGTCAGGATTTATAGAGTTTATTAGGATTTCAAAATTTTTTTGTCGCAAGTCGTAGTTTTTTTCCCCTACAAGTTCTTGTTATGATCAAGTCTCTTGCTAACTGGTTGCTTTATCTGGATAATTTGGGTAAATTTAGTTCTTTTTGTTACGAAGAAACTTTACAGGCTGGGAAGAGATCGCTGGAAACAGCATTACGAGATCAACCGAAACTATGTTCTTATCTTGACGGCGCTCAAGTATGCATTTAAATGCTTTTCAGGCATCTTAGTAGCATACTCCACAAGCAAAACTGATGGATGAAAACAAAACTGTTGTGATTTACTTTGTCTATTTAAGGTGAATGTGCGCATGTCAGCTGCTGAAGCACTCGGTGTGCTCCATGAAGCAGCAGCCGCTGCTTTTGGTCAGGATTACCGTTTTCCTAATCACGCTCATATGCTTGACATGTTAGAAGGTTTGATCACAGACTCTTTAAAATACCGTGCCAAAAAAGACCGTCGTACTCAACGCTACACCATCCGCCATGTGTACTCGGCCTTGAAGGTGTTTTTCATTTTCTCGTCACAAATATACTTCTGCAAGATCTCGCTGTTCTTAGTCATCGTTTGTATCGGTCTTGTAGGATCAAGAAATACCAACTGTAAACGTGAAATTTGGTAGTGAAGTCTTGAGTTTGGAAACCTGTGGAGAGAAGCTGCTTTACTCTTTAATACGGGATGTCTTAGGAGGAAATCTGAACACCCATCTGAGAACAAACCCGTTGATCCGCGAGCTTTTCGGCTTAGGACCCGTGAGGGAAGAAGTTCCCGTTCGGATACCGAAGTTGCAGAGGGTATGAAACTTTATTACATTATTTTATGCGTCTTGTATTCATGTTGCTTTTCTCTTCAGCTTGCGATACAGAATGCGGTGAATAAAGAAAGGGATATCAAACGTAACAAGCAGCGAGATAAGCGGTCTTGCTAAGCTCGAGTATCCTGTTTTTGCGGAGATGTCGGGTTTCGTCCAACACTTTGTAGCGCACTTTCCTTCAATGGCTCCCTGTCTTTCGCACCGATATCAAAATTGCTCAGAAATTTTTTCATCTCCTGCGCAACTACACCTTAACGTCGAACATGCAGAATTGGTTGCATCCGAAACCTTGTCTTTCCACTCTTTTTTCTGAAAAAAAAAAAAAAAAGTTTAATCAAATGCATTTGTTCAGGGCTGGTCCTGACTGTTATTTCCTACTAATTTTTAGAAATTTTCGGGTTTACTGTTGTTACTTTATGTAATTTAGCTTGTGCATTCAGATGTTTAAAACGTACCACATTGCATGGGATATCAGAAAGCAAATTTTAGTTTTTTGTGGTCATTAGCTGTTGCCTTTTTTCGTTCATGGAATGTACTTACTTATGTTTGTTTTTCTAAAACAGTGAAGGAATACTTGCCTTTTTCCTGATCCCTAGAGTGTTGTCATTACTGTTTAGGCCAAGGATTAGCAAGCAAGCTTTGCATAGCTTTAAAGATGATGGAGACCCACACCTAAAGACGAGGTTTTTAGAACTACAGGAAATTTCTGACGATTAATGAGACGACTAGTGAAGGAGCAATCTCCTAATTAAACAAACTTCTCGCAAGAATTCATGGCTGGCAGAATAACCTCCTTTCGAAGAGCAATATTATCTCCTGAGTAAATTATATCTAGAATAGCTTGTGGCCTTATCCTCCCTAACTCTTTAACGTAGTCCCTGAAATCATACAAGGCGGTTATTTTACAGTACTTTAGAACAAAGGCAGTTGTTTAGAGCACTAGTGGTCACGAATAAAAGTTCGTCCAAGTTCAGTAGACTCGATGCACTGAATAAGAACACATGAGGCAAAAAACAACGTAAGACATAAAACTTTAAACGGCCTTGAAAAGAAAAACTTCTAGGCCGCAGGCGTTGCACTTCTGCGTCAATAATATTTTTGACTTCAAGAAGCACGCTGACACTTGATACGAAATCAACTGCTACCTGACATATGCTCGGTAGGAATTTGGGGCGTACACGCATTCCGTAGAAAAATAAGTTAGTTTCTTGTAGCGAGCATACATTACGATTTCTTTTTCGAACGACCTCTTTAATGGCTTTATGCGCGGCAGAGGAACTGTTTGACCTAGAAACAAAAAAGTTTAAGCGGATAGTCATACCAATATTCTACTGTGGGCGATAATTGACATTTAAAAAGAACGTCAGGTTAAAACAAGCCCTCCTTTAAAAAACACGTTTGGCAGCGTATCAGAACAGAACTCCTTAATAAGCTTCTGACTTATACACACAATCCAGATTCCAAAAGTATGGCAAGTGCTATAAAGTTACAAATTTATAGGTATAAGTACAGGTCACCAACTCTTACTCGAAAAGGAAACTGATGATCTCTGCAGTCTAGCGATATCTCCTCGTAACATGTTCAGTAGAACAGTTTCTGCCACGTCGTCTGCATTGTGACCTGTTGCAAGTTTATTAGCACCAACGATAGTAGCACCTCTGGAATGACTAAGTTTGAAAAAAACCAAAATACAACCCTCCAACTCTGTTCTTCAGAGATAGTAAGCTGACCGGTTTTTCAAAAATGACTCTTACTGGCAAAACCGATCGTGTTCAACCTTCTCATGGGTGAAATATAGACCTAACCTAGTTTATACCTTCTGAAAAATCTTACCTTCTTCCCCCCTCAATTGTTCCCTGGACTAGACACTACAAGCGACAGTTTTAACACGCTGCGCCTGATCTAAGCTTGCCTACTGGTTAAGAAAATTAACTGCAAAGCTACACCTTCTGAAGTTCCTCTGCTATTCAAATTAAGAGGGCCAAGTGAGTATTTCAGAAATCTGAACAGGAATAGCCACTAAATTTATTTACAGCTTCTTTAATTCATCCTGCTCCGCCACTGCCTGATAGATGTTGATTTTGCGAGTTTTACTAAAGACTCCTCGAGAGCCCTGCTTGTTTCTAGCCTTAAATAAATTGTAATCTTTCAATGCTTTGTAAGATCAAAAAACATGCAACCTGCAGCTTCAAAAACTTAAACTCTTAATCTGAGTAAATGACGGGATTAGAAAAATCAGAAGAAAACGCGTCTACTAGAAAGTGAAGAGCTTAATTTAAAGCAACTAAATAATTTAGGATACACGAAAGAATATACAGGAAACCCGGGAGCTGCAGAAAAACAGGCTACCAGGTGGGATTTTGCTCAGTAAAAAGCCTTTGTAGTGAGGTAAAAAACTGAAGGGGAAAATGAGTTGAGAAACTTTTCGCAACTAATTGGAAGGCTTAAGTTGCAGAAAGAGCTTTGAAAATGGAAAAGGACCTTTCTAGAGCTTGTCTCCTAAAGACACCGCAGAAAGTACAGTTGTTTTTTGACCCAACTTTGGCCACTATTTCATCCATAGTCCACCCAAAGAGATCTTTATAGCTCAAAATTTTCAAAAGTAGCTCGTAATCTTTTCTATTACTTTCCACCGCTTTCAACGAGTCGTCACGATATCCCTTAAATTTTCAACCAATTCAAGAATGGTATATTTCAAAATTAGGCAGTGTAACAACTGAAAGAAGTACTGATCATACACAGCAAAAAGCAGATTTCAAGCGTACCAAAGAGGGAAACAGGCTAACCATACCTTTATCCCCTCATCGATGGCTACAAGTACCAGCTTAACCCCGTAATCGTATTTCTCATTCAGTTCTTTAAGGATGTAGGCAAGGACAGTGGAGTCTTTCCCACCTGAGACTCCAATAGCTATTGTATCTCCTTTTTCTAGAAGCTTGTCGGAGACAATAGTTTCGTGTACTTCCTGAAAAAAGCTCAGTTCACCACAGTCTAACCTTTATTACTAAAAATTTCATTGCATCACTTGGCAAGACAGGACAAAGAAAAAATTGGAAAATGATACAGAAGAACAGCTTAAAGATCAAAAGCAAGCCTGTGCCTCTAATTGCCCTTTCTATAACTATCCATAATTATTAGCTCAAACAGTGCCTCAAAAAGCAATGTTATTTTCCAATATAAACTCAGAAGCAACTCTAAATCCAAAGTAAAAACAACGCCTAACGTAGTGAAAGCTTACCGCTTCAAAACTACTTAAAAAGCAGTCTTTGCATACAAGAGATCCATCTTTACACCGTTTTGTTGCAGCCTCACCGGAACAAAAATAGCAGCGTACCATCTAAAACAGTTCTGCAATAGGTAAAAAAATAAACTTTTTCGTATTTGACAATGCCCACCTTGAAGAATATTCAACCTTGCGTCTTCTTTTTCTACTGCAAACTCTGTGGTAATTGGCGAGCCTAATTTTAAAAAAAAATTTTTATTACACCAAGGACTTCTAACAGCAGTGATAGTATCCAATCCAGTCTCAACAATAAGCACAGTTAATCTTCCAATCAAATAATTCTAAAATTAATCCACTTTTAACCAGTCCTTTACCCCAAACCTCATTCTACTACTTCCAACTACAATCCTCACAATCATAGATATCATTTGTATTCATTTTTCACTAGCAAAAGTTAAGTGAACCTACGTGCCCTTACCTGAGACTAGTCATTTGATAAAGCAAAACTTCCTAACACCCAGCAGAAAGTGACCTTTCTTTAAATAGTTCATGTAGTACAAAATTTGGTAGCACTTACAAAATAATCCTAAAAACGCCGTTTGGGAACTACGGTATCGATAAGATGCGCGTTCGTACAGCAGGGATACCCGTCCTACATAAACCTTATTCAAGAATTTCTGATAACGATTCGCGCAACTGCACTAAACCGATAATTTAATATGAGACAACCACAAAAAACCTTCCAAATCTGCCATATTCTAAAATGCCAGATCAACAGTGCATATAATTTTTATCTAGGAAAAGTCAGTAACCATTAAGACAGAAACACATCCACATCCTTTGTGCTCCGCCCATATCTAAAACTCTTCCTGGAACTAAAAAAAAAAAGTTGCTAAAAAGCTCATTTATATGTAAATATTAGAAAAAGTTTTGTTCCACATGAACAATATGCGACAACGTAAACTTCAAAATGATCCATAATTAAAAGTACCAAAAACCGGCCACTAAGAGTAAATGTGGCTGTGATAAATGGTGTTTGAAGAAGCAGCAAAAGCAAACTCTGCAAATATCTGTTCATACTAAAAAGTATAACGGGGAAGAACGTAACCGGTAGCGATTCTATAAAATCTGCGACCTGACAAACCTGAGAAAAACGCTGACGCGTCAAAAAACCTCTCAACTTCTATATCGGCTCGAATTCCGAAAACTGTCAAGGATAAAAGTTAAATATTACATGCTCCAACCTATAAGCCAATATTTTTGAAGATCCAAACGAAAAATTACTGAAAAATATTCGTCTAAGTTTTAATTCAAAAATCAGCTGGTGGCTTAGTCTGGGATTAATTAACAAAGCAATTTTGAAGCATCTGGCCCTGTTTATCGCACAAGAATAAGTGACATCGCAAATGTTAAAAGACTGTTTTTAGATGTCCTTCCGGTTCCAAACAAAGGTTCCACAATGCAATTAGAGGTTTTTGAGGAAAAGTATGATAAAACTAAGAAAACACCAGACGAAATTATAGAGTCTAATAAAGAAATGAACTATAACAGCTTTTGATTACTGAGCGGACAAGTACTGCCAAAATATATTTGCCGCACAAGCATAAATCATGGCACAGCAAAAGAAGTGTTG